GAGCTCGATGGGCCGAATGGCCTCCTCTCGTTTGTATAGTTCTTATGTTCACTCTGTCAGCAAGTCTAGCAGCAGTCCTCGTCGTTCAGTGCGTGATTAAAGAGGGTTTTCTGTCATCCAGCGTACTTGGTCAGCACCGCTTGGTATCTCTGTTTCAGCCATCATACAAGGGATTACACTGGAGGAGATTTACACCCAGGTCAAGCAGATCATCGAGGAACAGTCTGGCCCCTACATATGGGTCCCAGCCAAGGAGAAGTTGTGAACAGGCTCACACACTAACTGGTTCTTATTTGTTTTGGGTTTTGTTTTTTTTACTTTTTACATTTTTAATGATTTTAATTTATTTTTTTAGCCGACCTGCGCCGGCCTGTTCTGTTAGATGGTACGCTAACCCGAGCTTCAGAATCCGCCTTTCTCACATACCCGTGTCAAAGGCATCGTGAAATTTCGTCATGGCCCGGTTTTCTGACCTGCCTGCTAAATATCTCTTGAAGACTGGCGTTCGGAGCTCCGGTTTGGACCATCCCTGTTTCTTGCTAAGGTGCCGGGGGTATTTCCTGGCCGGCATCTACAAAGGGGAGGGGCTTATGGTACACTTCCTTAATGTTTAAGGGCGGTGACTTTCTGCAAAAAAACAAAAACGAGTACATTGTATGGTTTTTTTTTTAAGCTTTGTTTTCGTAATAATATAGAATAAAATACATAACGCAAAACTTTGCACATTATAGCTTTAACACTTCTGAACAATCCTGTTTTCTTGTAATTTTATTCTTTTGTTGCTGTTCCTTTTTTAAAGCTTTGTCTGAATTGCTTTAACGTGTAGCTTTTTTTAAAATTTCTTCTTCCTGGTCTTGATCCGTATGCATTTGCTTGTCAACAGAGATCTGGCAGCTGTTCTGTTCTTGTTTTTTCTATTGGTCGTTAATTGGCATGAAGTTGGTAAAATGCAGGCAAGGCGTCAGTGTCAGACTGTTGCTGGCTCCTGACAGGCAACAGAATCATTACCTGCTAACGTCGCGAGGCGACATCGGCGGTTTCCATCGTGTTTAGGTGCTCTTAAGGGTTCCTTTGATGTAGTCACACAGAAACGTAATGGTTGTTTTAAAAGCTGATATATAGAATAATAAAGTAGGATGCAAAACAGCAATGCAAAAACCATGAGGATTTATTGTACACTGAGATTCTAACGTATATTTAACACTCAGTAAACTGCCTATTTTGTTATAATAAAGGTCTATATTGAACTTTAAATGCAACAGTTATGGGAATTATTTTCTTTACATTGTCAGACATATATGAATATATATGTGTAAATATATATTATGAAATAAATATGAATATATTTTCCTTTACGTTTACCACCACCACCTTTGTTGCTTATTTTCCATGCATAAAGTTGAAATAAGGAAAAGTTCAGGCCCAATGGAGCCCAAGTGGTAAAAGTAAAACAGTATTTGGTATAAATCAGCTGGCAAATAAAGTAACTATTACGGCAGGTTCTCCTCTTTTTTCCTGACCACGTGAATTCAGTTTTTTATGTGATGTGCATGGTTTTAATGCAATAGGCTATTGTACAAAACAAACAAAAAAGTTGTGTGTTTTCACCTGGGATTGTAGTTATACCTTAAAGCTCCTCATGGACTCCTCTCCTGTGGCTCTGACGTTTGGTCTCGGAGCAGGAAGTCCGAAGATGCGCGCTCTAACGCCAGCCTTCAAGCCTCCACCAGGGGGAGCTCTTTCGCGCTCGCGGGCCATGGAGAGGATTGTTCCATGACTGCTTCTGTACCACCTCATCACGACTGTAACTTAATTTACAGCTGGACGGTATAAGCAACTTACCAACGGATTCATTCCATTTGTCAAAAGAGGAGAACAGTTAATAAAAACTTTCTCATACTATGCAGTATGGTCAGCATCTTTCTTTTGGCTCCAGTGGGGGGGGGGGGTTCTGCAGTCTAAATGATGCATGTACAGTAATGACCTTTAGTTTGTCTTAATTCTTATTTGAATCTACCCAAAAAGAATATGTCAAATCATTTTAATATAATGGATTGTAATATTTTGCATTTTGATGTCAAGTGAAGTTTTTTACAACACAGTTAAATTGCATAACTGCATGAACCAGGTGTAGGAAACCCTGATCCAGGAGTGCTGGGACCCAGCAGGTTCTCCATCCTACCTGATGAGTTACTGTCTGCCTGAGATCAGGTGTGGTTCATCAGAAAGCAGGTAGGATGGAAAACCTGCTGGATCCCAGCACTCCTGGATCAGGGTTGCCTGCCTCTGGTACAATCAAACGCGATTCGCTGTAGCGACATCCCGCTGTATGAGAAGGCCTACATCCTACATACTGTAATTCCCAGATGGCCCTTTAGGGTCAGCTAGCTGCACTGTTCTCAAGGTTATCATACCGATAACTGTTTCCTGTGATGAAATTTGACCTCTGAAACAGAGGGCATGTGGAAGTAATATAAACATGCAATTCTTTATTCTTCACATAAAGTCTGATTTACTGAGGTGAATCTCCCTGAATGAAGCAATGCCTACTATCTAGTGTTGTGATAGAATTAGTTATAAACTGAACAAACATCAACATCCTACATAAAACTAAATAAAACTAAGAAAACCATCCCACATTGTTGAATAAATGTTCCCCTTTATAGATCAGTAATTCCAGCAAACGAGAAGTCCGTAGGAGACTTAAACGGCCTCCTTTCCCGTTTTCGGGTGGTTGCGTAGTAGGGCAGAAATGGAAAAGTCCTGCTCTGAGTATTTAGTAAGGTGGAGTCTGTTCAATAAGCATGAAAGACCTCTCTGTCACGGCTCTGGATAAGGGCCAGCGCTGAGACGTCTCTTCGTCAGGTGAGGGGACAGAGTTGCAGTAAACTTTTTCAGAGGGCGACAAGAAACACAGTAGCGCCGTAAAACTAACATCCACGATGTTTGTTGCGCCACTATGCTGAATTTGCGCCTTGTACTTGAACTTGACTTTACAGCTGCCGGTGTCGCGTTTGTATAAATGGAAAGGTGGCAGGGCGGCGCGCGCCTTTGCCCCGCCGTAAACATGGGCGCGTGGATTCTGCTCAGCGGGGCTCTAATCCTACAAAGCGGTGAGTTCATCCACATAAGCGTTTATTTTAAAGCATGT